TTAATTATTATTCTCTTGCAATCCATGCATCAATAATACATTCCATTTTTTCTAATCCTGTGAAGGATTGGATTGATGGGTTACATAAGTGTTAAGTCTTGTAAATTTGACGTAGTTTACTGATTTCTTCAATTAATATGAATAATTTTGAATAAATTTTAAATCATAAAAAACTATAGTATAATAAAATAATATTTTATGAAAAGTTTAAATTGTATAAAAGTTATATTTATTTCATAATTACGTACATTATTTAAATAATATTATTCACAACATTTCACTACAAAGTTTGTGCCAAATTAAGATTATTGAAATCAATTATCTATTAAGAATTAAGATGTATTAGATGAATTAACTATATAATTTTGGAGAAATATTTGTTACTTAAATATAAAATTTTGATGAATAATTTTGTAGTTTAAAGGGATAAAAGAAAAGTTTAAAAACATTTTTTAAAATAAAAATTAAGAGTTTAATTTAGTGCACTGTAAATTTTTTAATCTGTCAATAAATTAAAATAGACTGTAAATATAATTTTTATATTAATTACTAAAAATTAAAATATTACACTAATATGATAACATATAATTAAGTAATTAATATATATTGCGTTCTACATCTATATAATTTTTATCTCTTTAATTTTTTAATTATTTATATTTCATTTTTTAGTTTTTAAATTAAATCTCTCCTCTTAAAAGTTTATTTTAGTTATAATAAAATGTTATATATTATTAATTTGTATAAATAATAAATGAAATATATAAAATATAATAAATATTTTTAGAGTGTTATTTAATTATTTATATTTTTTACTTTGTAAATTTATATAAGTTAATGGTATATTATATCTGTAATATTTAAAATTTTAAGATAACAACTTAATTTAAATAATAAAATAAACAAAATAAAATAAAAATAAAAATAATAAAAAAATTTAGAGGTAACGTAACGTAAAGTATAAGAATAAAATTTGAAAAAAAGGATTTTCTTGGGCGTATAGATTCCATAAATGGTCTTAACAATTTCTAGCAGAAGATTCAGAACACGTTATGGTCGTGCAATAAAAGCTGATAATTCACACTGTTCACACGTCACGAGCATTGAATGTTCAATTGACTGAGCTTTTTATGTTTGATGCGGGTCTGACCAATCACCAGTGATTCAGTTCAGCTGTTACGATTGTTTACGGATTTGGTTAAATTTTTACAGAGAAAGTCATTAAAATCGTATATAAAAATAATATGTAATTTAATTTGAATATAATTTATAAATTAAATAAAGTCAAAATTGCAAAATATCAATTGAATTTATATTATTTTTCATTTACCATTATATGATTTTTAATTTATTTTTAAAGTTCAAGTATTTTAAAAATTAAAATAAGTTGCAAAAAACATAAAATAAATAAGTAAAAAATAAATTATTAGAGAAAAAAATATTTAATTAAAAAATGAGAAATTAAAATAAATAAAAATAATGTAATAAATTTATACAATGTTACAATAAAATAGAGTTAAAATTTTGTTATATATAAAAATAATATATTTATTATAAATTTTGTTTTATTCGTTTTTATTTCAATTTTAAGAATATGATTTAAAAATTAAACTAAAATATAATATAAAATAAAATTTTCATTTTAGTTTGATTAATTTTCAATTTAACCATTTTCATTTTTTTTAATTATTTTAACTGTTTAAAAATTTTTTGATTTGATTTTGAACATCTCTGCCCCTTGTTTCTTTAAAGAAGAAAATAAGGAAATAAAAAAATTAAAATTAAAAATTATACTAAAATAATTTTCATCTTTTTTTATCTTTCTTTAACAAAAAAAATATTATTACTCATATTTTTAAATAATTTTCCTCGTGTTTCAAAAGTTATTTTTTTTATCTTGTTTTTATTTAACTAAAAATATTATTAATTTATATTTTTTACCTTTAATATATATGGAATGTCCCTCGTTGACACCGGGAAAAGGTCCCCTTTTCGTTAAGTAACTTTTAAAATAGTTACATATCATATTTCCCAAATTTTCACTAAAAAAGAAACAATTAAATAAAAAATTTTAATTTTGTTATTCACGTACCTTAATTTTAACTTATTTTATACATTTCTTAAATCTTTATTTTCTATTCTATTTCGTTTTTCATTATTTTATCACTTTCTTTCTCTTTTCTACTAATCTATCTCCGTTATCTCAGGTATATACACCATTAATTTAGAAATGTTATAAAGAGAGTTTTTCCACGATTACTAATAATTTTTGAAAAAACCAAATTAACACCTTTCAATATAGTACAAGTCCTTCTACTTGCACAAAAGTCATTTGAACTCTTATCTAGAAAGGTCATTATTACTGATTCGCTTCAAAATATCTTCTAGGAGACCCAAGCAATCTTTTTTAAGAACGTTTGGGAAGGAATATTTGAAAAAAAAAGAAAGAAGAAATACATTAAATTTATATTAATATATTAAGTTTATATTAATCTACTAATTTATACTTTTAATTTTAAAAATATTAATTTTAAATATATTTATTTAGAATATAAATTTTATTCTTTTATCCTCTCTAAAACTTTTCTTCTCAAATACTTGAGAATATTAGCAACCCTTGATAAAGACATGTATTCAAGTCTAAAGGATATTTATAAAAACTTACAAGGGCTTAAATTATATTTTGTCTTATATAGTTTATGAAAGTCAGAGTATTTTGTGCCAAAATTAATCAATCACAAATAATACTTTAATAGCGTTTAAATTTTTTTCATTTTATATGTATAAACATAGAACAAAAGGAAGAAAAGGCATGATGATGGCTCTAAAGTTGATATCTCAAAGCCTTGGAACAATGAAATGGCTTTTTTGTACAGTACTCTTCAACAACTTGACTTCCCGGTGCATTGAATGTCTCTTATCATGAAGGGCGTTATTACTATCTCTTTCTAATTTTCACTTTCTTCAGTGAGGACTCAAACAGGGAGATCTTTTATTCTCATATATGCTTATACTTTGTGCTTAAGTTTTTTCTGTTATGATTAATAAAGCAATTGCAAATAAATTCTTATATGGAATTAACATTTTACCTTGTGCTTGTCATGGCATTTTTTTATTTATTGCAAATGATAGCATAATTTCCGCAAGAGCAAATCTTGTAGGACCTCAAACAATAATTTCTATTTCCGAAAGATCAATTTGGAAAAAATAGAATTATCTTACTCAAAATATGCTGATTTGTTGAGTTATAAAGGCTTCTGGAGTAGGAGATTGAAGAGTGATTATTGGATAGTTAGAATCATGTGATATTTAAGAATAAGAAGCTTGACATGATATTTAAGTCATGGGCCTATCTACCTAAGTGGACTATCTTTTTGGTTTGTGTTCTCCTCACGTGCTTAAATTATTACAGAAGCAAATTACCAAAGCCAAAGAAACCTACAGGATTGGGAAAAATGGAGGAGAATTTTGAAAATGGAGAACTCAATGATGGAAAAAATGTTCAGGGAAAAATATTTTTCTGAAGGAAATCATTCCAAGCGTAAGCTTTACATGGAATAGAATCTGTGTAGCCAAATGGGTTATCGTGGAAGGGTTTTACCGGAAGAGGGTTAATGTAAAAATTTGAAGACACAAGTGGATCCCTAATGCAGCGAATTTCTTCCAAGTGTTATACTACGTGTTTCTGGTTCAGCATTTAATTGATCATGTCAATAGGCAATGGAATAAATAGCTCTCTACTCCATTTTCTCAATCCATGAAGTTGAAAAAACCTTGTAAGTACCATTGGGTATAATAAGAAACCAAGAGGAATAGTAAGATGGTGAATATTTTGTGGAAATAGAATAGTTTTGTTATGAATAAGAACAATCCTGTTGAGGGCACTTCTAATCCAAATCCAATTCATATCCAACAATAGAAAATTTGGAAAGTAGGTACTATTCAGTATTGTAAAGATATTATATTGAGAGCATGCCTAAATATCCTCCAAGTTCAACATAATTTGGGCCAAAAAGGGATGCAAGTAGAAGAATAGTGTCCATTTTGTGGCTTAAAGGAAGAGTCAACACTTCATGCTCTGGTAACTTGGGAAGATGCAAAGCAAATTTGGTTTGCTTCTCCACTAGGCCCGTGTATTGAAGTCCAGGATGATGTAGATTTCAAGAAGTGGTTGAGCCCTTTCTATCCATCAGCTGTGAGGCTATAATGTGCATGTTTAACATTACCTGAGCACTATGGTACAGAAGAAACAAATGGTTCCATCAACTAATGTACGTGGTGGAACCAACTTAACAAAATACATATGTTATCCCTAATGCTCTTGCATTTTAGTCATGATGGTTACCTCTAACTAATTTTGTGAAACTAGATATAAATGTTGGCTTTGGTGCAGTTATTAGATATGACAAAGGTCAATTATTAGTTGCAGCATCAAAAAGGTTGGACACAAAAGCAAGTACTCATATTGCCAATGCTCCATGTCTTTGATGGCTACACGCGATTGCAGCTGAGACTGATAATTTGTAGCTTGCTCAAGCATGGGAAAAAGGTGTTGTTGAATGATAAAACATGTTCTTTTTAAAAAACCAGCATATAATATTTTTAAAATATAATTAGTGAATTCATAACTAATACTTTTTCCGATTTTTTTATAAAAAATAAAATTAAATATTTTTCTATCTTTATTATAAAAATAAATGATAAATTTAAAATATATTAATTATTAAATTTCTTTTATATCTTTTTTTATTAGTATTATTAAATATACAAATTACTAATTATACTATTTAATATCATGGATATTTTTAAAATAAAATTTATATTTATGAAAAATAAAATAGACTATTATTTTTTCACCACAACAATATTATTATTCAATACTCAATATACATGTTTAATGTTATGAATTAATCAACATATTTAACTCAAAGGTGTTTAATGTTTAATGTCTTCATGTAAAAATTCTGACGCTTAATTTACATCACCATGTCAAATTACTATTATATGGCAAGGTTTGGGGACATAAGACCCTCTTGAGACGATAAAGGATGTAGAGCCTCTCGTTTCTTGGAAGAGATAGAAGGCTTCTTATTGAGTAAACATCTTTCTGCAAAGTGTAGACTTTCCTTGGCATAAAACCATGACACAGGTGATTTAAGTCTTTTCACAAACCGAAGCACTAAGTAAAGAGCCAATCTGTGGACTAACAATAAGGTCAACAATGCTGTTAAATCCCACCATTTGTCATGATCCAATGGAACCCCAAATACAAATGTTAAGACTTGTGCTCCGGAAACTTTTGGGTCCCCAGGTAGCAAAGGATCAAATTCAACCCCAAGCATGTCATTCTTGTATTGTCCCTGGAGTTGCAAAGAACATGACAAAGTATTAGCATTCAGTTGAAGATAATCTCCTCATCAATGCTATAATAATAGTAATTGGAGCTTAATTATTTCTTTTTATAATGTAGAAAGCACAATGTCATGAGCTAGTGTATTCTAAGAGGTAGTTTGGTTTTTTAAAAGAAAACGTTTCTTTTTTTGTTTTTGTTTTTATATTGCTTTCACTTTTAATTATATCAAACTATCATTTCATTTTTATTCTATTTCACATTTTCAAAAAATTGTACAAGAAATATCAAAAACAAAGAAAAAGTAATATTTTTATTGTTTTCTATACAATATTTTTAAAATAAAAATAATGTGACAGTTTTTCAATTAAAAGTAATAATAAAAATAAAAATATTTTCTAAAGCCAAACCACTTTTTAATTTTTATTCAGTTTTGATTTAATTCCAAAAGCACTAAAGATTATACCTGCACTGCCCAAGTAGCAAAACTGAGATAGGACATGGGATAACGCCAAAAGAACTTTGGAATATCAGGTAGGGGTCTAAAGATTTGGGAGGCCATCATCATGAAGATCTACAATCAAAATCAAAGAAATTGATCATCAAGTTCTAATAAACCTTATTATTTAAGGGGAAGAGAAAATTGGTTTGCTTACTATTACACCAGTTCCTGTTCCTATGCCCATTAGCACATTTGGGACCACTGATGCTACAACCATGATGCAGCTCTCAACAACAGATAGGCAGCAAAATAAGTTGATGCAGAAAAATGCACAATTAGTTAAACCCGGATGAAATTGAACCATGAAGTAAATGATTATTCCAGAGGAGAGCGATATTAGAACAAGGAAAGGGAATGATGATATGATGTTTGATAGTACAAATGTAGCCTCTCCATAATGCCCTTTGGACCTTTCACCATAGAACACCTACTTTTTATTGTGATTAGATATACAGCAAAATTTATAGTATAATTTTAAAAAAAATTTAAGTATAAGGAACAATTTTCGTACCTTCAATTCTTCAATGAAAAATGGTAATCCACCACATGACAAACAAATCATGAACCCATATATGAATGAGACACACTTTCCTCTAGCCAATATTGAGGAGTTATCTGTGCCAACATGAAAAAAGAGGGTGCCAATGCTGATTGCTACAGATATGTAGAATATTATCCTCAGCCAGTAGTAACCAATATCCCTAGTCATGTTTAGGAAGGATCGTTTGGTCAATGTACACAGTTGCCTCCACCAGCTGCTATTGCTCCTTACATTGGATTCAATTTGTTGCTCTTCCTGCAACTTTGCATCTCTCAGCTAAGTTGTACACTTAACAAATTACCTAAGACAATAACTCCATCCCAAAAATGGAAGAAAAGAAAAGGCAAATTGATTGTTTTCTGAATGGTTTAATGTCTAAAATGAATTGATAGATTTTTCAATTTTTCTCTAGAAGGAAGACTTACTAAGGATTCAAGAAGGAACATGATTTTCTATGCTCATCCCTAGTGATCTTGTAATTGGTAAACAATATATTGGTTTTCTAAAGTAGGTGAATAAAAAATAACAAAGATGGGATTTGTGTAGAAAAGAAAACTAATGATAAACATTGAGTAACAAATCATTACATTGGGTTTCAGTTGTTGAATTCTTCTTGTAATCATGGGCATTGAACTTTTGTAACTCCCAATGAGTGTCCTTCTAATCTCTGATGTTCTCATTTCCATTGTCGAATTGGATGTAGACTGTCAATTAGAACATTAAAATCCACATTCAAAAGCATTATCAATTGAAAATCTAAAAAAATAAAGCTCCAATGTCTTGTGTGTCTGTAGACACTTCAAGTATCCATTGTCAGTCCTATTTAAGTAAATTTTGTCTAAAATACTCTTTTTCTTTCTCTTATAATCATACTAATAATGAGAGTATTTCACATAAAAATTTCATAAATAAAAGTGACATAGACACAAAGAAGTGGTAATAGACACTCTGCAGAGCTCTCATACATACCAAACATATTTGTGTCTTCGCTAATGTTGCAGTAATAAAATCAAAGTCCAAATTCATACACAAAAGGAAATGATCGGAAGGATTTCTTCTAGTTGGACAGGGGAACCCTGCATCAGCAAAAAACTGTTCCCAAACTTTATTTAGTAACTCAGAAAATTGTCAACAAACATTATCACACGCATTGTATGTGTAGTCAAAGTCAAACAGTTAAGTACATTTAGAGCCATCTTTGCTTCTCCAAAATAAACAGTTTCCCCACTTGAGAGCAAAAGCAAATCATCAAAGAGATTAAAAGTTTCACTACTTGGTTGGTGAACGGAACAAATAACAAGTTTTCCATTATGAGCAATGCTGCATAGAGCTTGGATCACATAAAAAGCTGAGGCACTATCAAGTCCACTAGTAGGTTCATCAAGAAGCAAGACATGGGGCTGTGTTAGAATTTCAAGGCCAATGCTAAGTCTCTTCTTTTCACCATTACTTATACCCCGGGAATGCCAATTCCCAATCTTATTATCTGCACAATCTTCTAAACCCATTTGCATTATTGTCTCTTCAACAACTTTATTTATCTCTTCTTTGGTCATCTTAGAAGGGAGCCTCATGTTTGCAGAGAATGCGAGGGTCTCTTTCACAGTCAAAGTTCCTAAGAAAAGTTCCTCTTGAGCCACGTAAGACTGCAAATTCAACAATTATACAAACATGAGCACTAGTACATGTGGATATTTTAAAGCAAACCAAGAGATAGGATAAAGCTATTATGGATTTCAATCTTCTCATATTGTCAAATAATAAAAATGTAATATAGTCATGTTAAAAAGAAAAAACCATAATTTTGATAAAATTTAACTAGTAAATTCTATAATCAATTATGACAACTTGTTATTTAATAAAAAATATATCTTTCTTTTTCTAACATGACCACATTATCTGTTAAACGAATGACATGAGTTATTCCGATCATGGAATTTACTTCTAGCAACATTGTATGGTTTGTTATCTTACCACATCTTTGGAATATAAGCTTCTCTTCTTCCCATTGAGTAGAATGTTCCCGCTTACTGCAACATTTGTTGGAAGTCTTCCTACAAAAAATGTTAACATTCGTTGCTTTCACTATAATATTTTCCACGCACTGTCGTCTTCATATTCATAAGAGATGACACTTTGTTTATATTTCGATCAACTCTACACTGTAGTATTATAAAAAGATGTTATCCATTTTATTTTTGTCGAAGAAATTTCAGCTTTACACATAAGGATCCAAAGAAGAAACTGGGGACTAAAACTAGCACTTAAAAATTAATTTTTTATCCGGCCATTAAAATAGGAGTTCAAGTTTAATTTAAATTCACATTTTATATTTAAATGAATTGAATCACTCTAAATCTAAGATAAGAGAAAAGTCTAAATGAATTAACCTAAAAATAATAATAATTTAGATTTAAGATTTAAATTCAAAATGTTATAATTTAACGGACTTAAATGAATAAGAAATCTGCAGACGCATGCCCATTTAACTTAGGTGTGGCTTACTGGAGTAAGGTTCCTTTCTTTGGGCCCTTTACTCTAATGACCCAAGATAAAGGGTGGGCTGTCATGAGCTTTTAACCCTAACATCCAGTTCGAGAGCTGTGACTCCGTATGAGGTTTTTTTTTTTTTTTTCCAAAATAGAGTAAAACTAAAAAAAATTAAAATAAGATATTGATAAAATATATTTTTTTGTTTAGAATAATTTTGGTCATATCATTTTAAATATAGATTTATTATTTTTTAGTAATAAAAATAAGTGTCGTATCTTAATAACAAATATCGTTTGAATAAAGGACAGACCTTTAATGAAGAGTTCTTTTTTGATACCAATGGAGTCCAAGCATTTGGGGTAACGGTGAAGTCAAATTTCTACCATACCACTTATCTTTTACATACCTTTTAATTCGTTGGGACTTTGAATTGGTATAGATATGCTATGTTTATGGAAAGAGTTAAAATCTAATGTCACAAAAAGATAACTAAATTGACGATGGAGCATCAATTGGGTTAGTGGGTAGGCAGTGCTTATTTTTAAAAGTAGTTTTTAAAACTTACCTTAACAAATAATATTTTCTATTTTTTTAAAATAAAAAATATATTTTAAAAAAAACAAACAAGTCAAAAATAAGTGAATTTTGTCTTTATTTTTAGAAAAAAAATATATAATAATAATATTTTTTTTAGTATTCTTCATTATTATCTTATTACTTTATTCTTATATATTTTAATCTTTTATTTTTTATCGTTTGTTATTATTTTAATAATAATAAAAAACAAGTATTGTCTTCATAAAATGTGACACTTATTATTTTATTATTAAAAAAATAAGTATTGTCTCATGCTAGAATAATATTAGTGATATGACAAAAATTATCTTAGATAAGAAATATGTTTTACTAATATTCTATTTTAGTAATTTTTTAAATTTTGCTTATTTTGCCCAAAAAAAAAAAAACCTTGACTTCTTTAAGAGTTTTTCACTTGTAGGTTCTTCCCTCTTATGTGAAGTTTTTTTTTCTTATTTATTTTTTATTATATATAGTGTGAGTTTTTGTCTCTCTGTAAGGAGGGTTTATTTTTTATTTATTTCTTTTCTTATCATTTACCTTATTCTCATTTTATTTACTATATTTGACTCCTTTTTCGTTTACTTCCAATTTATTATAGTTATCACTAATTTGGAAGAAGAAAAAAAGAAAAAAGAAAAAAAATGAGAAGCCTACTTCTTATGTTCGTTACGTAGGAAAGTTAAAAAATTGCGTTTAATTTTATTATATTTAACACTTTTTTTAGTAGACAAGAAAAAGATGACAAGAGAAAATATTTTATCTTTTATTTTTAGTGTCTGTTGATTAGCAGGATATAGTTTATTCAACTAAGTTATCTTATCATATTATTGTAGTTTAATTTTTTAGTCTATTTCTTACCTAAAATTAAATTTTAATAGTAAAAAAATTGAATAAATTTATTATAATTTAACATTAAATTTTAATATTATATGTACATAAAATATATATATATATATATATATATATATATGGAAAAGTAAAAATTTTGAATAATTTTGATAAAAGAGTAAGATTATTATTTAAATATAATTTTATTTTATTTTACCAATTTTTTATTTATCTCAAACATTAAAAAAAATTATAATGTTATCATTCTCTTCATATCCTATCTTTATCAATTTCTTTATTTTATCATGTTTGATAAACATGCCTTTAATGTTTAAAAGATTGCTAAGTTGTGTTTAACATTGATCATACATGTTTGATCTTTTATTGTCTATTTACTATGAATTGTTGTAATGCTTTTGATATTTTTCTTGACTGTATATTGTTAAACTTTTTCATCTATGAATATTTGATAAAAAAGAGCATCGTGTTTATTTATTTAAATATTTGAAATTTATAACGAATATAATTAAAAAATAAAATTTTAAAAAGATATATAAAGAGAAATTTAATAATTTGTCAAAAGATTCTTAATAAGATATAAGATTAGATTTTTTTTTTTTTAATTTTGGATGAAAGTTGATGCTTTGGTCAGTGAGTTTTGAATACAAAAAAGTTGAAATATTCTCAATGTTTATAATATAAAATAATTAAATTTATTTATTTTTTAATATTTTGAAATAAAAATTACAATTTTAAAGTTTTTAGTTGAAGAAAATTAATAGAGAAATTAAATTAACTGAAATTTTAAAATAAAAAAAGTTAGCTAAAAAAAAGTAGTATACCAAAATCTCACACAATACAAATTAAAGAAAGTAAAAGTGAATTAAGTTAAAAATCTTTCTATTAAATCAATCTGTCAACCTTTCTATTGAATTTCATGGAAAAGACAGTAAATGCAAAACATATAAGCATGTGAGTTTAATACCTTAAGTGCTCGAAAAAAGTTTTTAAGTTTAATTTTCCAGCATGAAAATACTATAAAATTAACTAGTTTCTAACCTTTTTATTGTGTTTACTTTCACCATCTATTAAGTTTAAATAAATCACGAAAGAAAAAACCACGGTTTAAACCTGGTCGACTATTTTATTTACGTTTTTAGTATAAAGTAAGTGAAGAATTCATCGTATAACAGCGAGCAGCATAGCCATAGAGAAGAGCTTCAGTTTCCAGAAGCAAGATATCATGAATCATCTAAAGCTATATATAAAAATATGGAGAGAGAGAGAGAGAGAGAGAGAGAGAGAGAGAGAGAGAGAGAGAGAGAGAGAGAGAGACCAGTGAAAGAGTTGAGAAGAGTGGTTTTGCCACAGCCAGAAGGACCCATGACGGCCATAATACGACCAGGTTCAGCAAAACCAGTGATTCCAGTAAGCAGCTTCTTCTTGTGTGTTCCAAAGCATTCAACTGTTAGATCTTCCCACACCATCACCATAGCTTCTGTGTTGGGCCTTACTGTACTATTACTTCTTTTTGGGACTGTTTGTGTTCTCTTCTCTCTCCCAAGTTAATTGCTTACTCTTGTACCACGCTGCTCCTGCTCTCTCTATATATTAGAGCGCGCATGATATTCACCTTAATTCAATATTTTTTTTAACAAAAATCTTATGCTTTGTTAAATTTTAATATAGATTATATAAAATTTATACATAATTATATAAGGCATATTTTAAGAGATAGTGGAGATAAAGTTAATGCAAGAATAATTCTAATAAGAGTTATTTCATTTAATGACCTTTTATAAATATCAAATAATGTGATATATTTATTTTATCATACATATCAAGTTTTGGATAAATATAACGCTTGTAAATATATAATTTTATAATTAATATTTATTAATATATTCAAAGTGACACATTTTTTTAAACCTATATTATTAAAAATAATTTTTTATTATAAAAAATTAAAATATCATATATTTAAGTATAATAAAACGTGTATACGTGAATCATCTGTATTTTTAGAATAATTTTTGAATATTATAAAAAAATATAAAATTAATAGTGTATGGCACTTATCTCGTAAAAATCATATAAATATAAATTAAATATCAATGGATCATTTGAGAAAATGGAAATTTTCTGTAAAATTATAAATCTTAAATATATATAGTTCATTATAAAGATTAAAAGACGTAAAAATTTAAAAAATTTGCATGATAATAAAATTAATTAAATATAGTACACTGAAAAATGTTAGATAAATATAATAATGATATTCTGAACAAAAGGACAAATTACATATATTGTATCGTGTCTAAACATATAAACGTTAAAAAGTAATTACATTTTATACATATAATACTATAATAGATAGTAGAGTGAAAGGCATACTAATACTAATAAATTTTGAGAAAACATGAATGAAAGTAATAAATTCAAGAATTTTTAATAGAAGAAGATGTTTTTACACAAAACTAAAAATGATAGTAGTTGTTGAAAATTTTGAAAATATTACAAATAATAAATTAAATATTATAAATTTTATAAATATAAACAACACATTTATGAAAAATATGAAAATTTATATAAAAGAATAAAAAAGTTACGAAGATAAACATAAATATTCACAAAAAATTTGAAAGTGAAAGTTTACATAAAATAATAAAAATTTTATTTTAAAAATTAAAATAAAATTAACAAGAAAAGTAAATAAAAATAAAATTAATGCTATAAAAAATAATAAATTTCATAAATAATTCTTAATTAATTTTAGTTTTAAAAATTTTAAAAGAAAATAACTTCTCTAAATATTTTATTTATCAAACTTATAATATAAGAATTGATCATAGATATCGTATAAAAGTATATATGTACGCAAATTATATCGTTTATTACAACAAACGTTTCAATCAGTCTTGTGATTCAATAAAAATATAAAAATCAAATTCTACACGTGTATGAGTTGATAATACGTTTAACTGACTCGATGTCTCAGTTTGATCAGAATCCATATATGATTTAATACGTTTAACTCACTCAATGTCTCTCCAAAATTAGAATTGTTTTCTTAGCTGTACTTTTGGTCAAATATGTTAATTTAGGTATACTTTTTTTCTCTCTAATTTTAAATTGTTCACGTTAAATTCTCTTAATTTTTAATCATTCAAATTAATTAGACAACCGATGATTCAGTTCAACCCTTTCAAAAGGAAAAAAAATAAATTAAATTAAGCTAAAAATATTAAAAAATTGAAACATTTTTAATTTTTAATTTTTAATTTTATTTAATTTTCTTTACCTATAAAAATACTTTTATTCTTTTTGTTTTCCTTTTACCTAAACATTAGTGGTAGAATGTCCCTCGTCTCATACAATCCCATTTCAATAAATTCTGGCCATGTTGGGACCTTGACCGTACTAATAGCTGGAAGGTGTCCCCTCTTTCATTAAAATTAGAGCATGTCAAAACGGGCTGCCCGGCTTGATATAGGTAATGGGCTCAAATGGATTGAGTTTAATTAGTTTAAGGTAAAAATAAGTTTATATTTTTATTAATTAAGCTTTATCTTATGAAGGCTACGAACTTTTACGAGTTGGCTTGATAACTTGAATAATTTTTTTTCTTTTTCACATTTTTGTAACATGTCATTTTTTTTACTATTTTTATAATAACAAATCATTATTTTTATTATTGTTTTTAGTGTTTATAACAGGCTATTTTAAGTTATTTTTACAAGAGCTTAATAGACCACTTGTTTTTTTTGGTCCAATTTTTATATTAGACCATTTATTTGGTTTTTTTTTAAATGTAATAGGCCACTGATTTCTTTTTTTTTTATTTTATTTTTGTAATAGCCAATTTTTTTTATACACACAATAAGTTTACAAAAATATAAATAAGTTCATAATTACACAAATTTTTTTAGGCCAAAAATTTCATACATATAAAAAGTCTGCAAAAATATAAAACAAGTTCACAAAGATTAAAAAAAGTCCATCAAAGATTTAAATATCAAAATTTAAGAACATGAAGCTTCTTGAGAAAGCTTAGAATCATCAAGAGTAATGGTCTCTTTTCCATTAACATATATTTTAGGGTTTTGAAATTAAAATATATTCCCTTCCAAACTCCTTAAAACTCCGAATTTAATCTCAATATATATGTACGGGCTACCCGAACCTGCATGAGCTAACCTAGTTAAAGTCCTATCAGTACTGGGCTTATTTAGACTAGGCCAAAATCAAGGTAATTTCGGATCTTATTTTTTATAGCTCAAACCTGCCCATTTAACAGGTTTTTTTGGCCCAATCCATCGGGTCGGCCCATTTTATCGGCTCTAATTAAGATTTAAGATTGAGTTAAATAAGTTTATTACTTATATGAATAAAAAATTTAATAAAATTCTTCTCATAAATTAAAATAATTTATATTTATTATTTTTTAAATTATTTTTATTTAATTTTTTAAAAATCTAAAAAATATAAATTACTTTGAAATTTTTATTATTTTTGTATTGACTTATTCTTGAGTACTTACCCAAAATAGTTATAAACCATATATCACAACAGCAGGTGGTAATGATAAATGGGGTCAGATAAACTCATGCTAATAACCCAAATTTTCACTCAAAACAAAAAATAAATAAAAATTTTCTTTTATTTAGGTGCTTTAATTTTTATTTATTTAATACATTTCTTTTGTCTTTATTTTCTTTTCTATTTCATTTTTCATTATTTTAATATTTTCTTTCTCTTTTTTAATGATCTTTCTCCTTCATCCAAGGTAGGTTTTTTACTATCTATTTTTTGGAACCAAATTAACACTAACTTACTATCCTACTATGACATAACAACTTTCAATATATTACAAGGCTTTCTCACGAACTTTTCAATTAATAAACCACTTATCTAGCCGTCAATATTATGCAGCACAAAACAGTTTTTTACGGTAGCATTTTCACATTAGTACAAAAATTGACTTTCTACTGTTAAATTTTATATTAGTTAAAAAATAATTAATGTAAGAAAAAATCATAGTGACATTTTTAAAATTTATATAAACTTTTTTTATATTTATTCTCCTATAATTGATGTAAACAACTTATGTAATAAATAAATTTTATATCAATCATAAGAGAATTGATGTAAAACAAAGTTGGAGTTTTTTTTTTTTTTTTTTTATTTTGGAGGAAATTTTTTACATATTATACAATTGAGTAGAAAATACCTTTTTTACATTGATTTTGAAAGTAATCGATGTAAAAATGATGTTTAAGTTTTTTTTATTAAGAGACTTTCTATATAAATTGTATAATACAAATGATATAAAAAGTATTTTTCACATCAGTTGTACTATACAACTGATGTAGAAAAATGTTTATCAGTGCACTTTACTGCCTTCAAACAATCATTTCTCTTGCGTCTAGTACATAAAGTACTTTATGATTTTCATTTTTGTCTCACCTAAGCAATAGAATTTTCACTACAATCTTATATTCTTGTGAATCTTGTTGAAAAGTCGTCATTGGTACGTAAATCACTGCGTACAATACATAATATTTTATTTCTATGCTTATTTAAAACATAAAAATGTCAATGATACTAGTAAAATATTCTTTTCTTTTTGAAGATCTTGTCATTGTTTTTCACCTCTAGAATACACATTCATCTACATTGTTGAAGAAAAGTTAATCATGACATTTCAAGTTAGTATAACTATATCACTTTGCTTACTTTGAATATGTCATAAAATTGTATATTGCTACATGCAACCTTGCTTTAATATAGTGTCTTTATTTTGTTATTCCTTTTATCTTGCAATATTTGTGTATTTTGAAGTGTATCATTGTACACAATATATTCAATGAAAAGCTTAGTACCTTAGTTTATTACACTTTAGAATTAAAATACTTTATATGTTATAAGTTCCATGTTTAAGGACAACAAAGACGTTTAAGAATGGTAGCATAAAAATAATCTAGAATCCTTTGTAATAAGTCAAGAATAGACTTAGAGAAGTAAGATAAGTCTTGAATCCTTCACTCAAATAAGCATTTCTTTCTAAAATCCTTAATTCAAATATTTTGTTAACCATTAAGGTTGAAAATAGAAATAAAGAAAGTAAAATTTCAATAGTATTACTAGTGTGATAAATCTTAGAATGGAATGCAATAAAAAATGTGGGATAGCATGGTCCAAAAACACAAGAAATATTTATTTTCCTTCTAATACCTTGTTAGGTATCCTACTTATGAGATGAATGACACGAAATGCAACATAACACAAAATAGGTTGATTTGAATGGGCCTTAATGCTATGTTCTTGAAGTTATAAATGAGTTGATTTGTTTATGTTGATGATAATGACTACCTAACTTAAAACACTTCTTTTCATTAGTAAATTAAACATTAGTTTTCTGTTTGAGATTTAATACAATACCTTGTTCATCTTGTTGTATTGAATCTTGAATTGTCCAAGTTGGTCA